CCCCCCCCCCCCCCCAAAAAAAAATGGTGCAAAAATGTGGTGCAAATACACTTGTCGTGAAAACAACAGTCTTGGCAATACACAGAATAAGGTCGAAAAAATGGTTTCGTCTGATAACCAATTACTCACCGTCCGTCTGATGTCATCCGAATCAGGCAAACCTCGGATGGGGTACCAACGAAAGATCCTAATACACCGGATGTCATGGCGCAACCGAGTTTGGTCACAAAGTTCGGATTCTTGCCCTGACGTGCCGAAAAATAATCAAACAAGGATGTGTAGATACCAAGGCGACAGGTTGAGTAGGTGGCCTGACGAAGGAGACCAGCAGAAAGCCTAAAGTGGTGAAAATTAAAGCGAATGATGTTAACACGAACGACCAGGTAGCCGAACCAACGAACAGGTCACGTGATTTGGCTTACCCGGAGTAGATTGCGAAAAATCCCTCATTGGATATGATGGATGAAAGTGCATGAAAGGTGTTCCGATAAGCTGACTTCCCGGATCCAACTCCTGGGAGGGAAATGCGGAATAAACGGATGTGAAATGAAATAGTACACATCAGATGGCAGCCGATGCATTGGCGTTGTTTATTGCTGAGAAATAACACAGAAACATTGCTTTGCGAGGATTCTACCCATGAGTGCAAAGGAATGGGAAAAAACAAGACTGAAACGTGGAATTTGGGGCGCACCGTGAAGTGGTCGAACTTGAACATTGGTTGAACTCAAGGAGCGAAATATGTGGCCAGTCAATTCACAGAGTCCAAGGTGTGGTCGATCCAGAGTTTGTACTTGGAAGGCTGCGGCCAAATGTATGTGGTTCATTTCGATATTAATTTCCTGAGGACTGAATGAGCAATTGTTTCTTTTTCGGGGTTAAACCGCTGCACTATGAGCTAACAACCGTAACCTAGAAGGTGGGATGTGTTCGGTGAACTGTTAGTCTGACTGTTAGACCCGGAAGTCGAAATCGACGATTACTCACACCGGACCAATGCACATGGGTCCAACGTGGGACGCACCCATACGGTAGATCCTCCGGTAATCTCACCTGGCTTGAACTGCATGTCAAAGCCGTGCATCACGAAGCAGCTACCTGGAGTACCAAATGAGGACAATGGGTTTCGGCAAAGACCAAAGACGGGTGAAGTACTTCATAAAGCCAATCTTCCCATTAGTTTACTCCCTCCCTGACGATCCGTTTTGCCATCAATTCGTATTTTTGCTTAGAAAAAAATTTACAAATCTAGACGACGGGTTCATTTTTGACGCTAGGATGTCCATCATAGAGGAGGACGGAAAGAAATTCGAAAAAAATCCATTTAGGAGCGAGTTTCGTGTAAACATTGGACGTGTTGCTATCAGAGAACATGAACGTCTGAACCAATCGACCGTACTAGGGAAACAAAAAGAAACGGCAAAAGTCGTTCGAAACAAAGTGAAATGAGATAAGGTGACGGAAAACCAGAGAGAATGGAACCGATTTGGTTTCAAAGGCACAAAGATGTCACAAAGTGGTGAAGGCCTGTCAGAGATCAGGGGTTGAGCGGCATCTAACGAGGTGTGACAATTACAGTGCAAAAATGATAAACAAAACTTATAGAGATGTGACGAAAATCGAGAGGAACATACCACTCATTTGCATGCGGGTTTTCACCAAATCCAGAGGTTGCACGCAAACAGTAGCAGCCATTCTGTGACGGGTAAAGAGGTTAAATCGTGAAGTCACTCACTTATAGCAAAAATGAAGATTGAAAAGTGGGCATCAATCGGCCACTCTATCGATCATATACCACGTACCAAGGTCACCTAGGTTCCGGTTGCTACATTTTTGGTCACAAGAAAATGGGAGAACGGGAAGCTGTAGTCATGAACTGGAGGCAAGACTTGACAACAATCATGTAGAGACTTTCTATAATCACAATACGTTGTACTCGAAACACAAAACACTACTCCTTGACAGCCCAAGATAGGTTTCGCTCTTCTTGGGACTAGTCGCCGAGTTTCCGGAAAAATTTTTCTAACCGAACCCACCCGGCTGAAGCGGACCACCATAAGCGAGAAATTTAGCTGGATTCAGTTGAGTCTCCTGTCGAAACCAAAGCAGTATGCAAATGAGAGTATCAGTTAGAATTCTAGAATCGGTTAATTCACCCTAAATCAGTCCGAATGCTTGGAGAAACTGGAGGCTACGCATCGCAGGTGATGGCATTAACGTGACAGAATAACTGACAGCGTGATTCAGTCAGCGTGCCAATGTCACTAAAGACTGGTAGTCCGAGTAAGCGAGAAATTAGCTGGATTCAGTTGAGTCTCCTGTCGAAACCAAAGCAGTATGCAAATGAGAGTATCAGTTAGAATTCTAGAATCGGTTAATTCACCCTAAATCAGTCCGAATGCTTGGAGAAACTGGAGGCTACGCATCGCAGGTGATGGCATTAACGTGACAGAATAACTGACAGCGTGATTCAGTCAGCGTGCCAATGTCACTAAAGACTGGTAGTCCGAGTGCCGGGGTCTCCATCCAAGGAGGCGGAAGTTGTCCATCCGACTGTTCAGTAATTTCACTTTTTGTTGAAAGATCACACACTGTCCACGTCCCGGTCGGTCTCATTCAGCACAGCGATGAGCGGAAAAATCTACGTGAGGTAGACGGTTCTCTGGAATGCGGATTACATGTCTCAGCAAGCGTAACTAATGGAGCGTGAGCAACTCATTCATCGTCGGAGAGTTCCATTTACCTAAAATGACCTGGCGTACCCTAGGAGTGCTAATCCAATGTTCCCACCAGATCCGATCAATGTTTTTGAGACATGAGTCAGATACAAGTCACTCCTACAGAGACATTCGTCGATGGTGATAACTTTGAGTGAACTCAGATTAAGCAGCCTTCAACTAAAGTGACCGATCTGGGTGAAGTGCTTCGAGTTTGCGAAATCATCTTGTTTGCTGCTGAGAGCTAGCCCCATTGAGCAACAACGCACAAACTAAGGAACATCTCACCAAGAGATTAAACTGTACATCTGGAGTGCCTTTACAACCTGAATGTCTCCTTGGAATTGAGACAAAAATTCGTGAAGATTTAGTGAACTCTCCTATATCCATTATGCAAATTCACTTGAAATCTTAGAACCAATTATGAGTCCAACGTGAAATGGCAACACCGAAAGCCCAAAAGTCTGGTCCGACCAGTTCGCTAACGAATCAGTCGTCGAACTAACAGTTCAATGTAATGATATAATCATTCAGCTGTAGCACCCCTTCGGTGCCTACCTGCTATGTCACAGGAAGGAGGCACGAGGGCTGGGATACTGCCAGACCGCCCAAGCCAAGACATGGAAAGTCGAGAGGCAGAGGTCGGGCTCGAACCACAGACCTTCCGGTCAGTAAATTCGCACTCTAATCACTTGGTCCATCTCGCCCCCAGTTAAATGTGATGACCTATAATCTGTTGGTTGATCTGACTGATTTAGTAGCAAACTTTCGTCACTTGTGCGAACATAGCTACCAACATCCTCCTTAATGGCAATTACGTGAGTATCATTCCGAAAAAGTTAACGGCTAACGGCTCTCTTTGAAAGCTGTAAGCTTCAAAGCACCTCCAGAATGGGGTCGTGAGTATAAAGATATTATGTTTTGTGGTGCCAGAGGCACGTTGGTTCATACCCTTCTCTGTAGGGTTATCATGTTAGCGAATACGTTCCGTTCAAAACGTCTCAGGACTCAGAGGACTGCACAGTTTGTTTGGTCCACTACTAAGTGAACAACGATGGAGCAGTCGACAATGTCGACTATGGCGTCCAGTCTCTAGCTCCTTGTCGCACGCCCCATCCTGCTTAGCAGCTGACCACAACCTTCTCCAGAGTCGCTTGGATAACATTCTCAAATCCCTTCAAGAGTTCCATTGTGACACCCAAAGTTCCCCTGATTTGGTATTCGGTATTCAGTTCTGTTAAAAATATTACCAAGGATGGAAGTCAAGAGACGTATGTTTGGCAACCTGAGAAGCCAGTTAAACAATCATCTCCGTTTGATCCACCGGTTTCTGGACCTTCCGCTTGGATAATCGCATATGGCTCGGGCTAATTACGAACCATGCTATCAAAAGCGAACAGTGTTGGTTAGACCCATCCTTAGCTGAGGAATCCCTTCGTGTTGCAGCAGATTTTTTCGTATAAAGCGAACACAAGGATAGTGGATAGAAATTTGAAATAAAAAGACTCAAAAGGTTGACTGGCAAAATGCCTGACTGACCAACCAATCTAGCTTTAAGTTTAACGCGGGAAGACCTGGAAACACAACAGTTTCCTCCAACCCGAAACCTACAAATGCTTCACAGAGGTGGGCCGGCTTGGTCGATACACAGGGTGGTAGACGCATCTGAAAATCAGGTGCAGACGAGCCATCGACTTTCCTAACATTACCATCAGTTACCACAGTTTTTCTATTCACGACGCGCAATTTAGGTAGCCATATCCAATTCATCCAAGACGACCATAAAAGTGGCGTTTGAGGTAACCAATCACAGAAACATCCAGCCTATCATAGGCAATTTATAATAAATAATCCCCACCACATCGCTGTTACGTATGGTCTCTACTCTAACAAAATGTAGCAATGTCCCACGAGCAGTCTGTACGAGGAAGACCGGATGAAAGATAGGTTGAGTTACCCCTGTAGAAATAGACACGAAACAAGCAATCGATACACTAAGTGAACATTCACATCAAACGGAATGGAGGACGTCGTCGACTGGCGAAAGAGATGTTTTATGGACACACGACCAATGAATTTCAATCCTGATTTCAACTAAGGATGCTCAACGGTTTGAACTTACCCTGCGCATCCACCGAGGACAAACTTCATGTGGTTAGGAATAACAGTCGGTTTAGCAACTTCCGCCATGGTTGATTAGTTAATCTCCGGGCGTTTAGGAGGGATCCGGATACTTCGGAAGGCTGAAATTGGCGTAAATTGGATAAGCATGAACATCAGCATCGTAATAAGTTACCAGGCGGACGCATGCGTCGGTATACAGGACAGAAGCGTTTGCAAAAAAGTGGAAAAGTAGCGCACATAGGAGGTTGAGGTTTGACAACTACAGAACTATAGCCCGCAAACTACACAACTTGATTTCACACTAATTCATCATTCATTCGTCAATTCACCGGCTGAAGCATTTACAGTTGAGGTCTGCACGGGTAATTAGTAAACCGCTAGCGCAACACAATGTGCTTCATTGATTTCAACGATGTCAATTATTTAAATATAACCTTACAATGAAAAAATGGAGGGGAACCTAGAGCTAGCCTGACACAAACATGCGTGGTGCCTACACCTGATAGACAAAGTGGAGAGAAACTGAGAACATGAATGCAACTGTAATCGGTTAGCTGCCATATTGTTTGACGTTACCAGTCAACCACCCCGAAAGCCATATGTATCCCTATCTGGAAGGTGAATAGCATCAACAGCGACCAAACTTCCCTGTATCCCTGAAAGAAATAAAAATATTAAGAAATCTTCCACCTGCAGCACCCTTTTGGTGCCTAACTGCCATGCCACTAGAAGCAAGCAGAAGAGCCTGGATACTGCCAGGTTGACGAAGCCTATACGGGGGAAGTCGAGAGACAGAGGTCGGGTTCGAACCACGCACCTTTCGGTCAGTAGATTCACGCCCTAACCATGGGCTATCTCCCCATACCCTTGAACCCTCCTGTGACGTCAATTTTGTCTACCCCTAGGTTTTCGCTGCTACGGGCGGCGCAATGAAAACAGTGCTCGTTTTGGCAGCCAGCATGCGCAACACATGGCCCAATCATCTTAGCTTCCGGTAACGGATGTATTATGTGAGTAAAGCACTCCAGGGTTTACTTAGGTGCCGTTTGCCGATCATCTCATTACGCAATCACTGGTTCCATCCTATTCCAGCTATATTTCTGGGGCATCAGTGGCCGAATACCGGAAGATACCCCAGATCCCCTACCCGAGGTGATCAAGACTCACAGACGTACAACAATACTGGGCTTTGAGATTCGTGCACTCACTTCATTTGTGACAATGCCGTCGGAGTTAATGTAACTTCCGGGATAATAATAGTATTAATAATAATAACAACAATAACATAATAGCTCAACTGCAACACTCTTTCGGTGCCTGACTACCATGGCACCCAAAGGAAGCACGAAGGGTAAGGTACTATCCAGCTGTCCAACCCTAGACANGCTCAACTGCAACCCTCTTTCGGTGCCTGACTACCATGGCACCCAAAGGAAGCACGAAGGGTAAGGTACTATCCAGCTGTCCAACCCTAGACAGGTATAGTCGACATGTTGAAGTCAGCTCCCAAACACGGACTTTTCGGTCAGTGAGTTCGCGCCTTGACTGCTGTGCTACGTCGAGCTCAAAAATGACGACAATGTCGTCTACATATTCCAAGTTCACGAGGTTCTCGTCCATAGAGATTTGAACATCTAGTTTGTGGAAACTTTCCAGTGTTCGCTTCATTAGTTTATCGATTAAGAAACTGAAGCAAATTGGATACCACACTTCCATTCGCCCGTAAATGTGGATGCACACAACGAATAATATTCGCAAATTTCCGGAGCATAGCTTGTTGCGCAACCGGCCGGTGGAATCGGGCGCATTAGTGAGACCAAGGAACGCCGAGACTGTAGGGCGCCTATGCGCATGTCGTCTCTCTAAAACTTGACCGAAATGTGAAAATGTGGTCCACACAGCCCCTTCGTGGCCGTAGTCCTGCTCACTATTTTTAGGCTCCGTCTTCGAATACCTTTTTAGGGGCGTGTGAGATAGGCGACGCAGTGTGGCAATAAGGGGTGAAGCTAAGTCCTCTAAGATCGCCGCACTAACTGTCAGTATCTTCTTCGAGTTAGTCGGGACGGTCTATTTCTCCAAGATACAGAGAAATAATGTGAGCAAGCAGCAACCAAAGGTTTCATTATAGTTGAACTGAGCGAGTTCGTCAGCAGCAGAAGCCAGGCGACGCTTCAAAGATAACGGCGTTCCATTATTTCTGAAGCAGCTGGAAAGTCCAAGTTGACTGTTTATGGCTGTGCTGCGGATGAGAAACGTCGTTGAGCAACTGGTGTCGTCGGATTGTCGTTAAAAGTGTTCAACCTTACGATTCGGACATGGTTTTCTTTCACAGTAAATGTTTCGCCCAGCGGAAGCCTCCTTGAGTCTCTTAGGAGTATCAGCTGCAAGTGGGCAGTTTCATGGGGTATCACCTCATTTATCCCTTTAGCTTTCTGGGCCCACCAGGCCTCCTGATCGGTGCAAATGCCCTTTCTCTTTTGCATTTGAACATTCCGTTGATTAGAGGAATTACAAGTCCGAGCCTCGAGTTGTAGTAACGGTATTTTTCTCAGCTTAGCTCTCGGTCCGAGCCTGCCAAGGTAGCGTTCACGTCAAAACAACTACCAAAGATGCACAAGGTATATAAACGCCCTAAACGAAGTCAAGAACAATTGTACAGCGCTTCGTATACATAGTATAAGAGGCGATAACTTCCTGGGAATTCTGGAGTTTTCTGGTTGTAGCGTTGGTCACCTGCATTCGGCCAATACTGTGACATGACTAGCTGTTGGGTTCAGCCTTTCGACCAATGAGATCTCAGCTTGATGCCGGACCGGCAAGCGTCCCGAATTTAGGCCAAGTTTGCGTGGGATAGACCTCTCGGCAATAGCAGCACCTGGCTGCGAGAAACAAAAAGAATTTAGTGTAGAATCCCGCCTAACAAGCGCAGCGCTTAGATGTACTTGGTTGCGTCGCACCAAATGCGCAGCATCCTGCATTTGAAAGAGTTTAAACAGTAATTTCGAGTGGGTCAGCATCAGAAAACGTTTCGTCCGGAAAGGAATTTAGTATGTCGTTTTCGTGGACCTGCTTCATATCAAGATCTGAGAGTTCCCAAACGGTGAGGCAAGGTTTGCGCACTCCGCTCCCCCTTAAAAAGCGCGGCGAGAAGGATTAACGAGAAAGCGCGTGGCCCGGACACACGAAAGTGGTCCAGAACAACCTATAGCTGAGAGTAGCGTGGTCTATCAGTAATAGATGTTGGCCCGGGTGCGAAGGCTGAATGTAGCTAAGCGCCTTTGGCTGTTCTGGCAATTAGTGCTACGCTGCACTGTTCTATAGTTTGAACAACCGTAGAGGGTTGGTCCACGCACCAACTTCCCAAATTGAAAAAATTTTTGCCTGGAAGGTGCGTGCTCTAGGCTGTGCTCCCGCTGTGCATAGATTGGGTTGGCGGTGAAATACCTGTTGTGTTGACCTTATTCAAAGGCGGTATAAAAAGTGATACGTCCCCTTGGG